TTGACTAGCTGTGACTGAAGGGACATCTGCATTCAGGTTTATGGGAATAGCTGAGACTGAATGCTTCACCCCTGAGGGGGTCTGCTATTCTATTGGGAGCATTTTCCTTACCTGGTTGGTGTCCACTTGTTCTCTTAGAGGGCAATGAATACAGTGTGATACTAAGATTGTACCTTTGGAAGATCCCCAGTTGATTTATGTAACGCATGTATTGGTTTACATGGTCTCTAAACAAAGAGGAAGGGGGGGTGCAGACCAATTTTATCCAGAGTTGTTGACAGCCATTGAGGAAAAACACACTTTGCAAAGACAGAAACATAGCAATAATCTTTTTTTTGTGAGGAAACGTCACATTAGTATTTCCTAGAGGTGGGGCCAAGCGCAAGTCACAAGCCAAGTCTCAAGTCTTTGCAGTGAAGTCCCAAGTCAGGACAGGCATGTCCCAAGTGAAGTGACAAAGTTCAAAGTTTGAGTTTCTAGTCTTTCACAAATACAGCACCAAGTTTTTCTACACAAATGATGTTTATCATTCTTTCTGACTTGTGCTCAGTAGTAATGTTAGTTCTTCATGGCTCTCTCCTGCAACTTGATTGGATGCTCTCTGAGTGGTTGAGTCTGCATAATTAAGTGTTGACTTGTTGGGAATGTATGTTATTAAGCTGCAGTAGGTAACTTTTGTAAAAATAACTCTTCGTCATATTTGCTGAAACTTTTTACTATATTCTGACAGTAGAACATGAGACAGATAGTAGATTGTTGAGTCTCATTTGTCAACTACTAACGCTAGGAATAAGACTCAACAATCTACTTTCTTCAAGCCACCAACCCAAAGCTTCTTTTTATCTTCCTCAGCTCTGATTGGTTGTTTTCGTTCAGGCCTGGTGGATTCTTACAAATACCATTAGGAGCACTAGGAGGAGCCAGAGGAACCTGATTATTTTTTCACAGATTATCTGTCTCATGTACTACTGTCAGGATATAGTGGAAGTTTCAGTAATAATGACAACAAATATTTTTATAAAAGTTACCGACTGCAACTTTAATGATTTGTCTAGTAAGATAAAGGTTAAATAAAAACATAAAAAGGACAGGTTTCAGAACTGAAATGTGTGTTCAATTTCTTCTTTCTTTAAGAAGTTATGAAGTCACAAGATGTTGTTTTTGCCCACAGTACTCTCAAAAGGAGGACAAGTATGAAGAAGAGATCAAGATCCTGACAGACAAGCTGAAAGAGGTGAGCTAGAAGGAATGATGACCTTTAGATATTGTAAACCCTCAATTTATAGGATATTTTATATCAGTATGATGTGCTGAGACACATCATATTGGCTCAGAGGGGCGGCTGCGGCTCAGAGGTGGAGCGGGTCCTCCACTAATCGGAAGGTTGTTGGTTCGATCCCCAGCTCCTCTCGTTGCATGTCAAAGTATCCTTGAGCAAGATACTGAACCCCAAATTGCTCCAAATGCTGTGTAACTGTGGGTGTGACTGCTTAGTTTCTGTTCTGGTGAGCAGTTGGCACTGCCATTACATTGAAATTTCCCCATTGTGGGACAAATAAAGGAATATCTATCAGTATATGAATGTGTGTGTGAGTGTGGCATGTAGTGTACAGTGCATTGAGTGGTTGAAAGACTAGAAAGGCACTATATAAGTACAGTCCATTTACCATATTCTGCTCGTTATAATTTGTTGACTTTATTTGTTTTCTGATCAGAAGTTGACTTGTGTTTTGTGCCTCAGGCTGAGACCCGAGCTGAGTTTGCTGAGAGATCTGTGGCCAAGCTGGAGAAGACTATAGATGATCTGGAAGGTACAGTACAATACTGACCACTTCCCACCATTACTAGTGTACTTTTTAAATACAATTAGAATTTACTAATTTTCCAGAAAAAAGGCCAAAGGCATGCGTCCACAGCATATTTTAGTTGCTTCAAACCTTAAACAAGTTTAACCAAGCAGTCTGGACAAATAAGAGCACAGTCTGCCGAAAATGTCTTAGGTCCCCTCATCATTTTATATAGTATTATATATAGTCTACATAGTATAGCATCACACACACCTTGCTCATCAATGAAATTCATTCACAGATGCCAATGCAGTCAGAGAGTGAGTTACTTTCTGACAGTAAGGTTATAGATTGGCAGGAGGAAAGGAAAGTGACAAGAGATGAAAAGGGAAAGGCTTGGTCTAGATCAAGTTCTCATGATCTAGTTGCAGTGTAGTTACAGATTGACTGCACAATGCCTGAAAAACGCAAAACGTCCTATCTTTTTATTGTATTTGGTCTGCCGGATCAGGGCTGCTGTAGAAACATGGCAGTTCAACAACCTCCATAGATAAAAACTCTGTAGTTTTTATCATGCTAAGATAACAAAAACACACTGCTTCGAATCATTAGAACTGTAATATTTTAGACAATCCTATGTAGTAGTAGTTGAGCTGTATATAATTGCATTTTATTAACATGAACACATAATTACATAATGTAATACTACCTATAATGATAATAATAATATTACTTGATATTCCTTTACTCCATCTGGAAAAAAGTTTAACCCGGCTTTTAACCAGGAGTTAAGATTCCAATACATTTACATGGATGTATATTGTTCTGGTCACTTAACATCCTTATTATATTTGCCTCGTTTTCCACAATACTAATTTCAGCCTCTCTTGTCTTTCATTTTCATTTTCTTTGCAACACACCTCCCCTTGGTCTGTGTGTGGACATACAGATGAGCTGTACGCACAGAAACTCAAGTACAAAGCCATTAGCGAGGAACTGGACCACGCCCTCAATGACATGACTTCCATGTAAGTAGTGATACATGTTATTTCCAAGTGAGAAGCATGCTTATTGAGCCTGCCAGTGTAATGTTCCTTTAATTTTTATAAAAATACCATTAGATAGAGATAGGTAGATACTTTATTTATCCCGAGGGAAATTCAAGATTATTGTACACTGATCTGTCTGGCTAATATTTCAGAGTAACAACAGTCTTAAGTAATGATAGTTGGTGTTTAGATGCATAATGAATTATTATCTTAAAACAGTTACAATAGCTTTAGGCATTAACATTGTGATATATTAGACAGGAAAAGATCTGGACTCAAAAACTATTGTTATGGAGCCAGCTCATTAAAAAACAAAAACTGACAAGTCTGATAATTAACATCACAGTTTAAAGCTGTAGTAGCTCATTTTAATATAAACATTTTTGTAATATTGCTTAAATTTTCTCTATATCCTGACAGTAGTACTTGAGGAAGATAGTTGATTGTTGAGTTTAATTCCCAGGGCATCCCAAGGTGTACAGACGCTTTGGGACCATGGGAATAAGACTCATCAATCAGCTATCTTCAAGCTTCCAACCCACAGCCTCTTTATATACAATATTATCTGTCTAGAATACTGTCAGAACACAGTGAAAATTTCAGCAATAATGACAAAACGTTTTTTTTTAATAAAAGTTACCTACTCACCAATTGAACCTTCCAGAGCACCATGTCATACTCTATGTCATTGTGCATTGTGCAGCGCCCTCTGTTGGTTACACATCTATGGTTACCATGGTTCCTCTCAAAACTGGTGGAAACTCGGGCTGGTTCCCTAGATCGCACCAAGGTTCCAAGGATCTTAAATGGAACCAGTTCAAGAATGAGAGCTAATTTGGTAGAAATGCTATCTGTGTGTTAGCATTACTTGTGAATCTGCTTTGTGAGATGGGACCCTGGTTGTCTGAAACAGGAGGACTGAAAAGCTCTGCTATGACAAACTATTAGTTCATGAAAGACTTGTTGAAGGGCATCCAGTGACATGTTGCTGAGGATGGTTAGTTCAAATGTGCACTTCAACACCGTCTCTTGTTTCTTGTATTTTCAGCTAAACGTCCAGAAGCTCCACCATCCTGTCCGGTTGTGGTTTTTAACACTCTGAACTGCTGATCTCTTGGCTACATTTCTTTATCTGTCTGTCCCTCGCCCCATCCCCCCTCCCTTTACTCTGTTTCATCCACCTTTCCTCATTCCTCAACTTGCTGAACTGTTGAAATATGTGTGTGCCTGTTGTACTTTGTTTTTAGCACTTTCTCAATGTATCTGCTGAACTTTTCAATCAGTCATCTATTAGACATTGTTTATTGTATGTTTTCTGTTTACGGGTGTCTGATTTCACTCTGTTCTGTACCAGTGTTAAACATAGGAGGGGAGAAATGCATCTGTGTCTATGGCTGTTTTTTGTTAAACACACTTTTTTACTATTTCTATTTTATAGTTTTAAAGCTGCAGTAGGTAACTTTTATAGGAATAACTTTTTGTGATTATTGCTGAACACTGCGTTCTGTGTATTTTTAACAACGAAGGGCCAGAGGAACCTGATTTTTTTCCCAGATTATCTCTCATGTACTACTGTCAGGATTTGCAAATATTGCAAAAAATATTTGTATTAAATGTACTTACTGCAGCTTCAATAATAGTCGAATAGAAATTTATAGTCCTTGTAGGAGATTTTTTTTGTGAACTTGAGTTGAATTTGCAGCAGCTTTTGAAATATTTGTTATTTTGTGATGAACTGCAAGTCAGCTGTAGAAAATTATTGAAGAATTAATCAGAATTAATAAGTTCTAGTGAGCCTGGTGGAGCCTCACTGTCAATCACAATGACAGAAAAAAAACATTTCAAATAGAACACATCCTTTAGGTGGATTTTGTGAAGCAAACCAAATCATTTATGTTGCACAACTCAAAATTGATGCATAGAACTTCCCATCTAAATCTTTCAAAGAAGGTATGGTTAGGGCAGATATAATTAATACATTCATAACAATCAATGTATTTAAATAACCAAGATACACTCAGTGTTATACTGATATTTCTAGTATTTTGTTTACTTTCATGAATGGGGTACAATCACTTCTCGAGCACAAACTACAGCCTGCAGAATGACCATAAAGTTGATTGGATCTCTAAAGCAGTTCAAACACAAACTATACATATTCATGAACCTTGCTGATGATTTATTGCAGGGATTAGAATTCCTTATAGCTACACAAAATTAATCTTCAGGATCCCAGCTTTCAGATGATGTACATCATTTTATGTGGCATATATGGTTGACCTGCATCTCCCCCTTAATATCCCCATGGCCCCCCATAAAAAAGACAAAATGGGTCTACAGTAGGGAGGAGTGGAGTGGAAAAGATTAAATAAACAGATAAATAGACAATGATTTTTACTACTTCTATATTTCTGTCTCATTGGCATTCAAGGCATTAGAAAATAATAATTATATATTCATATTTTATAATAATCTTTCAAAACACATTTGGTGTACTAGTAGTTGGGATAGTGATGTGTATGCAGTGCTTCACATGGCTATAATATGTTAGCATTAAAGATTCCTTGAAATTGGGATTCGAACTTCGAAAAAAACAGTCATTCATGCTCTGGTGGATGTAACGGAGAAAATTTAGCCAATGAAGTCATCAAAATGTTCTCAGGAAATCCAGCTTCCTGCACATCATTAAATCACCCCATCTTTTTCTCAAAAAATAATAACCTATTGGTCTCACTCATTTCTTCCACAACCACATGCTGTCCCAACAAGAAATACATCACATTAGGCAAGTAATAAACTGCTTTGAGATTCAAGCTTCAGTGGGTAACTTTTATAAAAAAAAATAACTTTTGTCATTATTGCTGAAACTTTCACTATATCCTGACAGTAGTACATGAGACAGATAATCTGTGAAACAATCAGGTTCCTCTAATTCCTCCTAGTGCTCCTAATGGTATTTGCAAGAATCCACCAGGCCTGAACAAAAACAACCAATCAGAGCCAAGAAAGATGTAAAGACAAAGTCTCATTCCCAGGGTCCCAAATTTCTTCTATTAAATTATATTTCTGTTATCTAAATATTAAATGTATTCCCTAGAAATTTAGACTCTCTTCCTTAAATAAAGTTTAACATTTGTATAATAAACTCAGTTATATCCAGTTCCCCTTCATTGATATGTTGGGATTTTGTATAATTTCACAATACCAAAACAATTACATAAGGTTCTGTTATTGACACACAAACGGGAATATTTAGATGAATTGATTTAGCTTATGTTGGTTCATAAAGGTCCTCATCAACCACACATTTATGAGTGAATTAGACATTTTTTGTAGGTCAGAGGTATGATGTGACCTAACCTTTGGTCAGAGGAACACAACATTAATCAGGAGGCAGAGAAAATGAGGACACCAGACTAATGTACTATAAGCAAGAATATATCTCACTTTGATATTATTCAAAAACATCCTTTATTATATTTCATCAAAAGCTGCAGTAGGCCACTTAACTTTTTTGTCACATATTTGCTAAAACTTTCACTATATCCTGACAGACCGGCTCCTCCTAGTGCTCCTAATGGTATTTGCAAGAATCCACCGGGCCTGAACGAAAACAACCAATCAGAGCCGAGAAAGATAGTGGTTTTAAGAAAATAACTATCTTAAAACCACCAACCCTAAGCCTCAGTATATGACAACAAGGGAATGAAACTCAACAATCAAGTGTCTTGCTTTGCTCTGATTGGCTCTTACAGGTAGGTATAAAAGTTACCTACTGCAGCTTCATTATGTGATGTATGTACATTTTTATATAGGCTATATTTAGACTAGAATAGCTCATTACAGTGACCAAAGTCACTAGTTGCACTACTGCAATGTGTTTTATCAAATATATCAACTGAATGTGAAATTAAACAGACAAATAGAGGTCATTCCAACAAACATTCCCAAGAAAAGAGACAAAGTTGTAGCTTTGGCAATATTTCAAAATACCTAAAAAATCTTACTGTTATGATTGTTCAAGTCTTAGATGAAGCCAGATGGCAATAAAAATTATCATATGTATAGGTGTTGAGGTTATTTATAACATGTATGATTGCTTCATTTCAAAATGATACATAATCAGACAAGTAATAAAATACATGAGAACACAAAGGATAGACATTGTTGGAAATGTACAGTACTTATTCAAATATAGTACCTCCTGCAGTATGAACTATAGTAGAGACTAAAACACACTCACTGATGCACTCATAGCACCCTCAAAACCCCACAATTCCTCCCATCTAACTGCTGATGTCTTAAACATCAGCGGATTTTAGCTGACACTTCATCTTTGAGCTTGAAAACAGCAGTTTCCAAAACTGGGGTTGAGTGAGAACTCGGCTGAAAGCAGTATCCATTACAGATAATGTACTCTCTATGAGTATGTGTATCGTCACACTCAAATGTGTCAATATCTGTATTCTAGGAATAATAATGTTAGCCATCTAACATATCCACTCTGCTCTTGCTAGTGATTGCTAGTAACCCAGCCACACTGAAGAACGTTATTCGCCACTGGATAATATCTGTTAGTTAGTTAGCCAACATTTGCTTGCTCGCTACAGCTAGCTGGCTACAGCTAGCTGGCTTCCTTGCTAATGTTATCACTAGCACATTACTGTCTGAGTGGATATGTTAGTTTGAGTGGATAAGTGGCTTGCCAAACTACTTCCCCAGCTAACGTGATCTATGATAATAACTTATGTATTATGGTGTTTATTTTAGACAACAAAAAATGATGTTACGATACAAAGCTAACAATTGCTTTCTACGAGCCAAGAGTGATGCAAGGTAGCGTCCTTCATTGTGTAAGAACATTACAGATATAGTAAGGCATTCTTAAAATGATTGCAACTTACAGGTACTACTTGGAAAATTAGAATATCGTGTAAAAGTTGTTTTATTCAGGCAATTCAAAATAAAAGGTGAAACCAATACATTCTATAGACTCATTACATGCAAAGTGAGATATCTCAAGCATTTCTTTGTTGTAATTTTGCTGATTATGATTTACAGCTTATTAAAACCTCAAAACCAAAAACTCAGAAAATTAGAATACTGTGAAAAGCTTCAGTATTGTAGGCTCAAAGTGTCACACACTAATCAGGTAAGTAATCCAAAACACCTGCAAAAGGGTCCTGAGCCTTTAAAAAGTCTGTTTGGTGTGTCTGGTTTGGTTTAGAAGAATTCACAATCATGGGGAAGACTGCTGATCTCACAGTGGTGCAGAAAACCATCATTGACTCCCTGCACAAGGTGGGTAAGACACAAAAAGTGATAGCAAAAGAAGCTGGGTGTTCTCAGAGTGCTGTCTCAAAGCACATTAATGGACAGTTAAGTGGAAGGCAGAAGTGTGGAAGGAAACGGTGTACAAGCCGGAGGGATGACCGCAGCCTGGAGAGGATGGTCAGGAAAGGGCCATTCAAAAGTGTGGGGGAACTTCATAAGGAGTGGACTCAGGCTGGAGTTGCTGCTTCAAGAGAAATGTCGAATTTCCTGTTGTCAAGCCGCTCCTCACGAGCAAGAGCTTAGCCAGAGGCGCCTTAGCTGGGCTAGAGAGAAGAAAGACTGGACTGTTGGCCAGTGGCCCAAAGTCCTCTTTTCTGATGAGAGCAAGTTTTGCATCTCATTTGGCAACAAAGGTCCCAGAGTCTGGAGGAAGACCGGAGAGGCGCAAAATGGAAGATGCATGAAGTCCAGTGTTAAGTTTCCCCAGTCTGTGATGACTTGGGAATCCATGTCAGCTGCTGGTGTTGGTCCTCTGTGCTTTATCAAGTCCAGCTGTCTACCAGGACATTTTAGAGCACTTCATGCTTGCTTCAGTGGACCAGCTTTATGGGGATGCGGACTTCATCTTCCAGCAGGACTTGGCACCTGCCCACACTGCCAAAAGTACAAAATCCTGGTTCAACAACCATGGGATTACGGTGCTTGACTGGCCCGCAAACTCACCTGACCTGAACCCCATAGAAAATCTGTGGGGCATTGCCAAGAGAAAGCTGAACGGGAAGAGACCAAACAATAAAGAAGAGCTCAAGGCCGCGATTGAAGCATGTTGGTCTTCCATAACACCTGAGATATGCCACAAGATGGTAGCATCCATGCCACGCCGGATTAAGGCAGTCATTCGTGCAAAAGGGGCCCCAACCAAGTACTAAGTACAGATGCAAGATTTTACATTCAGAGGCCTGACATTTTTGTATTTAAAATCCTTTTTTTTTTGTTATTGATTTCAAGCAGTATTCTAATTTTCTGAGTTTTTGAATTTGAGGTTTTCTGAAGCTGCAAGTCCTAATCAGCAAAATCAAAACAAATAAAAGCTTGAAATATATTGATTCGCATACTATTTGTCTATATAATATGTAAATTTCACCTTTAAAGTTGAGTTACAGAAATACATGCACTTTTTCAGGATATTCTAATTTTCCAAGTAGTACCTGTATTTGTCTTGTGTGTGTCATGTCACTGCTTTGTGTAGGATGGTGGAAGTGCTGCAGTTAGCCTAACACTACTGCAGGATTGTCTTTTTCTGCCACCACTTAGGCTCTGCCCACAAAATACGTCGTCATTGTTTCCAAACACAAAAAAGGCCTACAGTATACAGATAACAGTGGACTCACTCATCCCAACATGGTCCTCATGAGGATCGGTCTCGAACTTAACTTTTAAGTCAACATGGACTAGAAGTCCTAGAGGTTCTCAGAACTCTTCAGAACTGATGGTTTCTACATTTTCATGGTAACTGAGCAAGCTACTAATGAGGAGTGATACAGTTGAAAGCTCATGCATAGCTACTAAATGGACCTTAAGGTGGTATTGTCTTGTCACCAATCAAGAGTGGATTTTTGTTGGGACTTTGGGGTGATATCAGGCTCAATCAACAAAATCATGGACTTCACATATGATAACATTGTGCTCACCAAAGTCGTCCATGTGGGAACATGGCGACACCGCCAAAAATAGGTAAAACAGAGCAAGAAACATGGTAGGTAGTTTTCATAAAATAACTTTTTGTCATATTTGCTGAAACTTTAAAAAAAGAATCAGGTTCCTCTGGTTCCTCCTAGTGCCCCTCGTGGTATCTGCAAGAATCCACCAGGCCTGAACGAAAACAACCAATCAGAGCCGGGAAGCGCTAGAACAAGCCAGAAGAACTTGATTTTTTCACAAATTATCTGTCTCGTGTCCTACTGTCAAGATAGAACATTAGATAATTATATTAGAACATTATAGAACATAGAACAAAATTATTTTTATAAAAAAATTACCTACTGCAGCTTTAAGTACTAATACACCATAGTTTTCCTTTTAGCTAAACAACTTTAGTGAAACAACTTTGCATACTATTTTTTTGGTTCCTTATGTTTACATGTGTTGTTTAGTAGTATTAGTCATCACAGTACAACATTTTAAACAAGCATAAATATTTGCATTTGTAAAAGTCATGGAAGACATAAAATTACATTTTCTGTAGAGGAAATATAGTTCTACCCAAAGTTTCTCTATGCACATTGTTTTATCAAAGAGTTTCCCCAAACCAGTAACCACCCTAATACATTCTATCCTTCAAATCAAGCATCATTAAAGGCATATGCCCACAGGGACAAAGAGCTGAACTTTAAAAGAAAGTACTTTATCTTCTGAAAGTCTTTCATCAGATGAGGCAGTACTTGTTTGATACTACCATCCCAGCCACATCTGAGACAGTCTGTAACATTTCACAACATTTAGTCGTCTATTTCACTTTAACAGGATAACAGAAAATGTTTCCCCTCAGCGATCCTCAGCTCCAGCCTGGACCTGGATCCTGGACTCTTCTGCCCTCCTCTGGTCAGCTCTATGAACTGCTGCTGAGTCTTCGACGCAGCAAGGAGGCAGGCTTGGTTTCAGTGTCCTCTACATCGCTCTCACATTGTCTCTGGAGAAAAGCATTAGAAAAATTGGATTCCAATCTGATGCAGACTTTTGGATGTCATGAATTTGCACAACTGTATCTTGTAAAGCTTACAGTGCGGCTTTGAATAGACCATCTAAACTGAATTTGAAGAAGTACATAAAAATGGACAATATATACATCAAGAAACACTAAGTATCTTTGCATATACAAGATTCAGTGTTGAGTAGCTCTAAAAAAAAAATTGTATTCAATATCAAATAAGTTGAGTTAAGTGACTTTATAAAAGACTATGCTTTACTACAGACATACACAATTATTTTTCAAGGCACCCTGCATAAGCTTCTTTGACTTTACCAAAATCTAAAACTGCATCAGTTCATCGTACAATAATTATACAGGGCAATGCTACAATGGACTTCATTTTCAAATCATATTAAATAATACTATAAAACTTTTAATAATAGCCTGGGTTTTTATTTGCTTCAACCACTGAACTCACCCTGCACTTACTGGGGACAGGCAGGAAATACTCTCTAAGTTTAGTTCAGCAACTATGACACAGCTTCCATTTCAGGTTGTATTGTTTTCTCTGTGCTGCCGCCATCACACTTGAGCTCACTTGTTTTCCGAGCCAAAGATTTACGGCAGCCAGCGTACAGATGGTGAGCAATGGACTTCACATGACAATATTCACAACTCGGATTAGTGTTAATCAAACCCCTCTGATTCTTATGATCCTTTTGACCCTTACGCACTAAGGTAATATAAATAATGGAAGAATGGACACAAACTGTATGGGACAGACTTTATGAGCACTTCAGAAGTTGGGAGCCAGCTCTTTTTTCTGTCTTTCTTGTTAACCATGCCGGTAAATCTGAATGAATTATACTTTGTGTCCCATAGTTTCTGTGAAATGAACCAAATGATTCAACGATCTAACTGATCTAACGATATGCAGTATCTCCATGTTGACAAAAGTTTAAACATTTATGTTTGTTTAGGAGATCTAAGCAGCTTAAAACTCGCTCAAGTGGGAGACCTGGTTGCTTTTGAGAGTTTTTATGCATCCAAAGAACTTCTATAAAATCCAGACCAGGCCTCTATGTGAGACCTGCATTTATCTGTCAAAACGTGTACCACACCAGGCTAGTAAAGGAGACCTGCGTCTGTTTAAGACACTAAAAGAGCATTACTCAAGAGGAAACTTTAGTAATAAATAAGTACTCTTTGGTGTGTGAGGGTTCTATCGGCAAACAAGGTGAAATGATGAGATTTATCTGTTTGATCATAATACATTCAGTAAGAGCTGGCCTTTTTTATTTTTGTTCTTATTTTGTCTATAGAATTGTTTTATTGGAGTATATGTGCATCGCGATGGGTTGTGTCAGTGTTCTGTGATGAGTAATGTGAGTGTGTTTATTTGTATGGTACTGACACCATGTAAACTGTGTGGCCCCCAGGAAGAATGGCGGCTGTTATGCAGAAGCTAATAGGCGATTGTAATAAACAAACTAACATTAGTGGTCTTACCTGCACTGTATCTGGATCTGAGCTCCCCTTCAGCAGTTTCAAATGGACCAGCCGGTTACATATCCACACCATGTTGTAGGACATCTAGAGGATGGAGGGGGGCACAGGGTGAAGAAAATGGTTTACAGTCTTCAGTAAGTCTTTCCAGCCAGTGGTGCAACCAACCAGAATACCTGAACGTTCTTAAAGATAATACTTAGATGATGAAGAGCAACTCTGTCTTCATTTACATCAGCTCGGTATCATATAATGTTTCTATAAAACCAGGTAGCTACACCCAGTGTGTGTAATTTGGGGGATTTAGATACCCCAATTGCTCAGTTATTTTCTATTTATCGATAGCAGGGATCTCAAACTGCTGGCCAGGGGCCATTTGCAGCCCTCGATCCCCCTACCTCCGACCCAACATGATGTCAAAAGTAACCCCTAACTCCTGCTTACTGTAGCTGCTGTTGGCTAGTTAGCTCAGTTAGCTGTGCAGCTAGCTGTTCTATTAACGTTAGCTGACTTCCTTAGCGGACTGGGAGCTCGGAGCAGCAGGGGAATGCACAGGAACTGTAGACTGCTGGGAGGAGAGGGTTTGTTTTCATGCCTGGTGTGGGGGTCCCCAGCAGGAAATGCGGTTGGGGATCAACAGGCACCAGAACCGGAGCCAGGCAAGCGAGAAACAGAGACGGGTCAGCAGCCTCAGAGTGGCTAGACCTCCCAACCTCCCCTATCTCTCTCTCCCTATTTTCTTCTCCTTGTCCTCTGTGACTGCCACCTCTCTCTCCTCTGGCTCTCGGTGTCTCATTCTACATGTTTGGATCTTCCTCTCTCTCTCTCCCTTGTGTGCACGTTGCTGTCGTCTCTCTCTCTATGTGTGTGTGTTTCTCCTGTCTGCGTGAAAAGAGCTTGTTTGGTGACACCTGAGTTTGCTCAATGTCAGTGTCCAAACTGTGATTTTACTATGGTACGTTGGTCTATTCTGTACACACATCTTTTTCCTCTCTGTCCCTCCTGGGAGCAATATTTTTTTCCCAGGATGGCGAAATTATGACTAGCTCTACTCTGACTCTGATTGGCTTACCCTAATTTTCTTACCCTAACCCTAACCAAAACCAATCAAGGCAACAAGTATTAGCCAATCAGAGGCAGAGTAGAGCGGGTCTTAACTTTGCCATCCTTCCAATCTTTCCCCATTAAAGGACAGAGGGTGACGTATCCTGTACAGATTGTAAAGCCCTTGAGGCAAATGTGTTATTTGTGACATTGGGTTATATAAATAAAACTGACTTGACCTCTGCAGAAACTTAGTTGTGCACTCTAACAAATATAACTGGCTATATTTGCAGATAGGAACTTGAGGGTCCTACTGTCCCTGCACAAGTGGCTCCTTCTGGTTGGTGGGCCAATCCCTGATAGCCGATATATTCGTTCAATCACCCAACCATAATGCCCTCTCACCTTCCATTTCCGTCTGGCATTGAACTTCTTAAAGTTCTTCATATTGATTGAGGATCGGTTTCTTTTGGCCAGCTGTGTGCGTGTGATGGGCTGAAACAGACAACATTTACATTCATTTTAAGTAACATCCAGCAGCTAGATGCGGTTAACAACTAAAGCATGTTTTGGGCCTTGAAATGGTAGCAGACGTATAGTAACCTTAATCCATGGATGAAGCAGACACTCCTCAGCTGTCATTCTATCACTGGAATACACATCAACAAAGAAGTAATGACAGATCAGGTAACAGATTAGAAGAGTAGTAATAAGTGACAAGTAATAATTAATTGCCACTCTCTACTGGATAAAAAACAGGATCAAAAACAGTTTCACACTTTTTTTTTTACACATCAAGTAAGGCAGCTAGTTGTACTGAGATGGAAAATAATGTTATTGGTCATTAATAGGGATGCACCGTTTGGGAAATCTTGGCCAATAGTCGATGCCATGTTTTATGTTGTTAGTTATTCACTATTTATAGTGTTATATATTATATTGTTGTATATTGACAAACATCTACAAAGATAAGTGTTTCTGCCTTGTTCACTGTCCGAGCTGCTGCATGGAGCACATTGGTATTTGCATGCAATTTGTGCTGAAAAAACTGAAATTATTATCTATTATTATGAACATCAGCCACTGATATCAGTGGATGCCATCTTATTTGATGCTCGGCTGATACATCAGTACATCCCTAGTCATCACATATGAAAGCAGACAATGGATCAGTAGCTATATCACAATATTGGTTCTGCCATAGGAAGGGCCCTATGCTGCAGCAAGATCCGTCTAATTTATTTTCCAGGAGCCAAATTCACACAGTGATCCTAATAATTGTACTAAAATCTATATATTTCAGCCCAGTGGTGGAACAAACTCCAAGCAGAGCTTGGAACTGAAGAATCCTTCACCATCACACCAACACAGCCGAATGTCGACCGTGCCACCAGCTTTAAGTTTGTGGGTTGACCCTCCTGAAGAAGGTTCACCAGCATCTGTTTTCCTGAGAGGACTAAAGAAAGTCCATCTGCTTCTTCAGAGTTGACGCACCACAGTGTTTGCAATCCTCCCCTCTGGGAGGCGCTACAGGTGTCTTCATTCAGGGACCGGCTAGCTCAGGAAACGCTTCTTTCACCTCTGAGATATTTTACGGCTTTTTACCCTTCTGGATGCTGAACGCCATCCCGTTGTCTCAGAGTACAAGCACTGAGACAACAGAATGCAGTTTATGACAATGACAATAAAGTTCCATCTAATCTAAACAACTAACATGAGATGGTCAGTCAGCACCACCTTCTATAGCCAGAAAGCCCAACAGCATCTGCACTTTGCATAAGTAAAAGCAGGCTCCCTCACCCAGCAGCACTATACACAGTGTGCTGACAAGTCGCATTACTGCTCAGTACAGCAACTGACCACCTCTCCTCCATCCCCCTCTTTCCTGTCAGACACACTCAGGCAGACAGAGACCTACCTCACCAACAACCCAGTGACTCATACGCTGCTCTTGCTGCCATTTCTATGTATTTCATCTTTAATGGTGAGGGTATTAGAAGTACATCTATCCAAATTAAAACTGTTTATTTTTTTTTATGAAATGAGGCACACATTTGATTACATGTGTGACAGCACATGCACTTTACTCAACTTAATACTACTAGCACCAGCACTGTGTTTGTACCTCTTGTATGTCCTAATCGAGTATTCTATATGGAAAGGATGATAATAAAACCTTTTAAACAATGTATTTCTAGACCGTTTGTTATTTTTTATGAATCCTTTTTTTACACTTTATTGCTGATTAATATTTTAATTTGTAAATATTGTATAATTCTTCTTTTATTGCCAATTTAAATATCCATTGATGAAGTACTTAGTACTTTGAATCCCTCCAGGGGGTTGCAATGTTACAATTGCAACAATTAACGCAAATTTAACCAATCCCTGTAAATTCTGTGCAACCTTGCAATTTTGTCCAATCACTGCAACTTTGCGCAAGTTTTACCATGAATTTTACCAATCATAAAGTCCCCCGCCAAACATTAAGCTATATGTCAACAAACTACTAACAATGCTATTCTCGCTGGAACAAGATGCCTTTTTTAAAATCACACTTTCTCCCAAAATTTCATTGCAAAAAAATGCTAAGAAACATTGCAACATGCATCGCAATTTTTTAGAAAAGAAAACCAAATAACAGTCCTATTGGCTACTGCCACTAGTCCTCCCTAGCTGCTTGCTTTTACAGGAAATACATACATATGTGGAAGCAAACAACAATCACATTCCTGTTTTTAATCTAAACTTTATGTGACTTTTTTTCAAGGTTCTCATTTTGAATTTGTGGAACTGTACATTATTGTTGTCATGTGACCATCCTTGTCGTTGTTGCCATCTAGTGTCTTGGAAGCTCATATAGGCTAAAATAAATCAAGCACATAAAGCCACTGCCACTGTCACTCCAACAACCTAGCTATCCCATAACTCCTAAGAGCCTATAGGGGGAAACAGCTTATGTTAAATTACCAATGACAAATTCTGTAACAATAGTACATACTTGGGATCTTTCACCAAGAGTTTCTGGATGAAGTCTTTGGCCATGGAGCTGGTCATGCTGAAATACTGTGGATCAAACTCGTACTTCATGGCGATTATGTTCCCCAGAGTCTCTTGATTGGTCTCACCTTGGAATGGTGACATCCCGCTCAATCTGAGGACAGATTGCACAGCAAGAGTCAGACTATGGTAAATGGTAAATGGACTGCTGGTTTAGTATTTTGCTCAAGGAGATGCATTCCATATCTGATAAAAGCTCCAAATTCACTTAATAGGAAGTAAATTAAAGATCCTTTAAAAGCAGATGGCCATAATACAGAAAAAGATCTACACACCAGTGAGTGTAGACTGATGTAACTGCAGATAGTGTCAAATATTATCAAACAACAGATTAAAATAATTTTTATAAAAAATAACCTTTTGTCATTATAGCTGAAATTTTCACTGTGTTTTGACAGTAGTACATGAGACAGATAATCTGTGAAAAAAATCAGGTTCCTCCTAGTGCTCCTAATTTGCAAGAATCCAGAATCAGGCCTGAACAAAAACAACCAATCAGAGCTGAGAAAGATATAAAGATGCTTTGGGTTGGACGCTTGAAGATAGTTCAAGATGATAGTAGTTGTTGTTGAGTCTCATTCCCAGGGTCCCAAGGGGTCTGTGTTTGACACCCCAGGAATGAGAATCAACAATCAACTATCTTTCTCAGCTCTGATTGGTTGGTTTTTATTCAGGCCCAGTGGATTCTTGAAAATACCATTAGGAGCACTAGGAGGAGCCAGAGGAACCAGATTTTTTACATAGATCTCATGTTCTGCTATCAGGATATATGTCAGGATGTAATATGCAAATCCCAGAAGTTGCTCTGGCCTACAAATCTGGAGAACAACATTTGAAAAAAACATGTTAAATTAAATTTGTGATGCAAAAATTATCATTCCCACACTAATCATAAATCATATCACAATATCTGTCAAAATAAGCAGAATATGGTGTTTTTATGTGTACAACAACATATTCAAAGCCTCACATGCAACCCAACACACAAACACTTACAGTATGTAGGTAATAACTCCGATGCTCCTGGAGGAGAAAGAAGCACAGGCAGTCATGTGATGTGGTTTACTCATTTTTACTACTGATGACAAACGTAAGAAAGATAGTGTTTAAATGGTTGGACATTCACTCAGTCTGCTGTTTCACACAGTCAACAGACTGAGAGTCAGCTGGGATCTTGTGCAGTTCAGTGGGTCTCAGAACAGGTTGGAACATGTCAACAGAAGAATGTACTTCCTTAGAATGCTCACCACATATCTGCAGCTGTGCTCAGAGGTTCACAGTTGATCACCTCAGGGGCTGAGAGAGAGAGAGAGAGAGAGAGAGAGAGAGAGAGAGAGAGAGAGAGAGAGAAGAGCGAGAGGGAGAGAGAGACCAAGAGCGAGAGAGAGAGAGAGAGAGAGAGAGAGAGAGAGAGAGAGAGAGCGAGAGAGAGAATTTTGAGACTCAATACAAAATCACAAAACAAAATATCATGATATGATATATTATATATATATATATATATATATATTACCCCTCAATACTATATTAATGATACCTTGCCAAATTCCTTCACTAGCTAACATGACCCATGATTAAACTGGTATGTATGTATTGTATTGTATTGTGACAGTGTTGGTGACGATGTTGATTTTAGCCAACAATAAGTGACAAAGCAAATGTGTATAGCTAATCACAATATATTTCACAAGCTTTGCAGTAATGTTAGCTTTGAATTTGGGCTTTGCATTGTGGAGGGTGCCGGTCGTCTGTAGAAATTAGCAAACTCAATTTCAAAAGCAGAACAAGACAATTGTTTCTTTATTTCAGGGATCTTTCAGTTTATCTCAGTCACTTTCCTTTACTCCAAATTGGTGTATATCACTGCGTGGCTAGACAAAATTTCTGACATCATCTTTATGCTACTTTTGCTGCTACTCAGACTCTTTGAAAATCTTGTAGCTCTTAACCCCAAAATTCCACCGGGCACGGCTTCATGATGTCGGCGGTTTGGCTCTGTGATGCGCACCTTTAAATTCTACTGATAGTGTTTCAGAAGCCAAATGTCTTGAGAGCGTGTTGCCTGCCCGACCTTGTTTACTTGCATATTTTGTCCTTAAAAAGGATAGATATCTGTGTTTCTCCGCTTAAAATCTCCTCAAACCTGCCTCTGACTGACTACTTCTGGCCTGGTGCCATAGAGTTGATGTAGCATCCGGAGTTTGCATGCTGTATTTTATTTTTAAAACGGACCAAATTCCCTATGCCTTTTGTGTATCTGACTTCCTGCCAGTGCAATCTGCTCTGTGCTGCTTAGACCAGCCGCATATTCTACGTGGAGCAGAGCGAAGAGACGCTTCTGGGTCACGGCACTGGCTTCTTGTGGAATTTTAAGCAATTTCTAGAACGGTTGTAGTCAGCTGCAGCAAACGTGGACCGGAACGTATTGTGGCCATGCCCATTGGAATTTGGGGGTAAGTGTTTGAAGGCTGCCTCACTCATGGCTGGCTCCCACAGTGTTCCAGTTGCTACTATCTCTATCTTTCTACATTGAGTTTGCTTTTTATAAATACAATACTATAAAAGCCATGTTAACAAATGAATGGTGCATGTTTATGAGTGACTGAATGTGTTAAATGAGAACATCATGTCAAATAAAGGACTATTCATCCTCACCAATGTACTGTGGGGTCCCACTTGTGCTCCTGTACTCCTCCCCCTGATTAAAATGGTGGGCCAGGCCAAAGTCGATGAGTTTGACGTTGTGCTGTGGTGACACTTTGTCTGCCAGCATGATGTTTTCTGGCTGAACAGAGACAATATTGTTGTTAAAGTGGAAGCATATATTTTAAAGTCACAGTCGTGTCTCAATAAAGTAACTCAGAGAAGTAATTCCGGTTGGTTTGCCGGCACCTTGAGGTCAAAGTGGGCAATGTTCTTGCTGTGCATGAATCCCAGTCCCTCCAGGATCTGCTTCATGAACTCAATGGCCTCACTCTCCAGCAGGTTATCCTTTGCAGCAATGAAGTCAAACAACTCCCCTCCATTAATGCTGAAATGTCAAACAGAAGTGTGTGTTATAATACTTATTTTGAGGTAGCAAATACCTTAAAGGACAACACAAAGGAAAGGTGTTTTGGTGGTGGTGATTTGTGTGTTGTTTGTGGCATACCCCTTTAGTCGTGACAAGCACTAATTGTCTATAACTGAAAATACTGTATCTGACTCAGTAAAAACTCTCCCTTCCTAAGTCCCGCCCCTTTTTGCTCTGTGCTCCAATAACAGTTGAGCAAGCCCCAGTCAGAACTTTGGTCAACTTTCTCCTTTCCTGTCCTTAGATATGCTATGTGCTAGGCTCACGCTCCGTCTATGTTGAAAGTCAACCATATTTTGAAGATGGTTAAAAAATACAAGCGACATATGAATTTATAGTCACATCTTGAAGGTCCAGTGTGTAATATCTAGGATGATTTATCGGCATGTTGAACCACCATGTTTCTTACAGTATTCCAGGAGGGACAAACCAAACTAGATAGGGGTGTTTTTTTCGCAGCCACCGTAGTTTCTGGAATCAGTCAAATATTGAACAGTCAGCTCTACCTTTTAGGTTTAAGCTTACTAAAAAAAAAAAAAAAAAAGATGACCAACTTGAAGACTGGAGATAGAAATCTTAGTGTAATGTTGGGCATCATAGTGTCATAGGTTGCCCTTATTAAACTATGATTTACTCCTAAAATACCATGTAATAAATCTCTTTCTGTCTATTTACTTAAGTCTGCTCAAGCATTGAACTGTCAATGGTGTTAAATAATTGGCCAAAACATGCCAGATGGACTAAAATGATGTCACTGAAGTCAAAAATCTTCTTTATTGTATTAATGAAATGATTTAAAAGTCCAGTGTGTAACATTTAGGAGGATCTATTGTCAGAAATGGAATATAATATTCATAGGTATGTTTTCATTAGTGTAATGTCCCAGTGGAAGTTGTGGCTATTCAGAATAATGTTTTGGCATAGAGCAGATTAGATTCGCCCCCAGTAACTGAATTCATTCCATCCAGTAATCAGTATAATCTCTATGAATAACCCAGATCTTCACAGTGCCCTATCATGTGAGATTTTGTTTATATACGTTTATATCTTTAATAATCTAAAAACAATCTAAAAAGACATTTTTTCTCACTGAAATTAATGAAATGCTGATATTGCAACAATTTGTGTACAATAGTCTGAAAGCAGGCACTGGTTTTAGTATCAGTTTCAAAACGCATTTAAACCACATACGTAGCCCATTTCCTGACTGGTGTGAGAGAAGTGATAGATAATGAAAGACTGGCTGAGACCGAGAAAACCAGACATGCTGAACATGTCTCACTGTAAGTAAGTAAGTAAGTAAAGCTTTATTTATATAGCACCTTTTTGACACAGAGATCCAAAGTGCTTTACAAACAACAAATAAACATAAGGGTATAACCACACCCAATCAAACAAACATAGGGAGCATGTAAATACAAACAAAGGAAGATAAAACAAGAGGGAAAGAATAAATTAAAAGAGAGACGACAGATGAAAAACAAACAAGGAGATCTATAAAAAGGCTTGCCTGTAGAGGTTTTGAGCAGCCGCTTAAAACAGTCCACAGATTCACTGAATCTGAGTGAATGGGGAAGACTGTTCCACAATGTTGGGGCTAAAACAGCGAAGGCACGGTCACCTTTAGATTTACAGGTAGAGCGTGGAACGGATAAAAGGCCGAGATTTGAGGAGTGAAGTGGCCAAGGAGTGGAATGAGGCACAAGGAGATCTGAAATGTAACTGGGGGCAAGGTTAGCTCGGTCGGTAGAGCTGGTGACCCATGTACGGAGTTGCTGCAGCGGCCCTTTGCTGCGTGTCATCCCCTCTCTCTCTGTCTCCCTTTCCTGTCTATCTACAGCTGTCACTATCCAATAAAGGTAATAAAAGGCCAAAAAAATTACTTAAAAAAAAAATGAATAACTATCCCAACCTCTGAAGAGAGGAAAACAAAACGGTTTTTAAGTCAATGATGACCATCATTGTGTTCTGACAGTAGTACATGAGACAGATAATCTGTTAAAAAAACACATTTGCTCTTGCCATCCACCAGACCTGGATGAAAGCAACCAATCAGAGACAAGAAAGCAAAAAGAGGCTTAGGGTTGAATGCTGGAAGATAGTTTGTTGTTGAGTCTCATTCCCAGGGTCCCAAGGCATCTGTATTTGACACCCTGGAAATGAGACTCAGCAATCACCCATCTTTCTCGGCTCTGATTGGTTGTTTTCGTTCAGGCCCGGTGGATTCTTGCAAATACCATTAGGAGCACTAGGAGGAGCCAGAGGAACCTGATGATGTGGTGGAAAATATTAGTGCATTAGAGCATAGTTGAAACATCAAGAACAGTTTCCTGTTCTGAAAACGCTGAGTTTGTCCTCTAAGGACAAACCCAAAAGAACATTGGAGAACACCTTGACCCAAAACTGGAAGCTCCCAAAACTCCTGTCCGCTTCTGTTGAAATTAGATAACATATTGAATTAGAATGAAAATTGATAACTAGCCAACCACTGATGAGAAATTACCAACTGCTGACGTCAATGACAGGTATAAGACCAAAAGCCTGGATACGGTTTTGGGAATTCTGTGGTTGTTCTGTACTGTTGTACTAGGTTTTCTGAAGAGTTCTTGGAACTATATAGTATCAATTTGAATAAATCCTGCAAAGGCTGTTCATGAACTTCTGTCTCCAAGTATTTTTCCAACAATGATCACAGATTATCTGTCTCTTGTACTACTGTCAGGATATAGTGAACGTTTCAGCAAATATGACAAAAAGCTTCTTTTGTTTTTTTTATTACCTACTGCAGCTTTAACAAACAGTAAGACCACAACCAACAGATGCAAAGTTCCTCCAAACTCCAAAATGTTTATATAGTGGATCCATACAAATAACACAATAGATGTTTTGGAACTTTTGATATTTATTGTCCCTCAACAGGCCACAACTGGGCAAAATTAAATTATGCTTGTTAAGCACTATACCAAAAATAAATATCAAATATATACACTCTTTGTAGTGCAAATAAAACAAAAAAAAACTTCAGACAATTGGTAGATATACTGTACTTCAAGTATTTTCTTCCTCGAAAAAGTAGAACAGTGTAACACAGTGTAACTGAAAAGTACAATGTATAGCAAAACTAAGGAATCCAAACATAAATAGGTAATACATAAGAAATAAAAAATACATCTCCATAAAAATAAATCTCTTTCTCTGGCCATTGACAATCTCACTTCAAGAGGCTGCAGCCAGCCAACAAATAAATCTAAATTAAATGATGCTCTTTAAGCAATGTACCAAAAATGTATTCAAACAATATATACACTCTTTTTAGTGCAAATGTAATAAGATGCAACACAACTGGCCATACCTGTCTCTCGTTGACTGACTCGCTTGTGTTGTTCGTTGTGTGTCGGACTATGCGTGCTTTCGAACACCTGCCCAACTCTACCTCTGATTGGCTTACCATGAAATTTTACTCAGCCTCAGCCAATCGTCAGCATGTATGCGCTTGTCTCGTGCACTGCCCACTAACCAAGGAAGAACAGTAAAAAAAGTCTTTGCCTCTCGGCTCAGAGATCTAGTTGGTCTGATGAAAAAAACAGATTCAATAATAGTAACGCGCCGCATTTTCTGGCAGTAACGGTAACAGCGTTATTAAGATGGGAAGAGTAATCAATTAGATTACTCGTTACTGAAAAGAGTAAAGCCGTTAGTAACGTCGTTATTCCATCACTGTACAACACTGACCATCACAACATACTATGCCCACATACTGCTCTGCTTTCACTACTGTCACTAAAAACCCAATCACCTCAGTGTCTCCACTCCTATCTGCCAGTGGATTTACTACTTCCTTTACAAGATGAAGGAATTTGTCCATGACCACATTTTAAAACCACTATACCTCAGCACAACCACCTCACAGGGCTGTGTTCTGTACTCTCTCTCCACACCAATGATTGTGAGCTAAACATGGGCTGCTGGTCTAGTTTTACACTGATGGAATGAATCCATTAACACCTCTTCAATCCCCCTCTGGCTCTGCATCGCTGCACTCAAAGACTACAGCTTGCTGCACGGCCTGCAGAGAAAATCATTGACCCAACTCACCATGGCTGATTCTCATTCTCAGCTGACAATGAGAGCCCTAAAAACCGGGACCACACCCACACACACCACATCCACAGCTTGTTTCCTCAGGCCTTAAACCTCATAAACAACTCTTTACTGCACAGACTCACAATCTCTACATCTGCACTGGACTTATCTGACAACATCACTGCCATATTTGCACATTAACTTGGCGGCTGTGGCTCAGAGGCAGAGCGGGTCGTTCCCTAATCGGAAGGTTGTGGGTTCGATCCCCGGCTCCTGCCGCAACATGACAAAGTATCCTTGAGCAAGATACTGAACCCCAAATTGCTCCTGATGCTGTGCATTGGTGTGTGAATGCGTATGAATGAGTTAGTTGCTGTTCAATGGGCTTTGCCATCACTGTGTGAAAGGGTGAATGTGGCATGCAGTGTAAAAGCGCTTTGAGTGGTCGGAACACTAGAAAGGGTCTATACAAGTAAAGGTCCATTTACCATTTACATTACTTCCTCTGTTGGTTGTATATATTGCTTTTGTGTATAATAACCTCAATGTGACTCAGAATCATGTCATTAGTTTAATTATGATGGACAGTCAGACAGCTAAGGATGGGACGATATACAATATTATCATGTACTACGTTAAAAAACACTTACACTATATTTGGCCACACCTGCTAATTCTTGAATTCAGGTGTTTCAACCAGACCCCTTGCCACAGGTGTATAAAGTCAAGCACCTAGCCATGCAGTCTCCATTTGCAAACATTTGTGATGCAAAATGGGTCGTTCTAAAGAGCTCAGTGACTTCAAGCGTGGTACTGTGATAGGATGCCACCTTTGCAATAAGATGGTTCATGAAATTTCATCCCTGCTGGATATTCCACAGTCAACTGTAAGTGATATTATTAGAAAGTGGAAGAGTTTAGGAACAACAGCAACTCAAATCTTTCCAGTCATTCCAAAATTCTGTCACTATGGCTCAACTTGCCGGAGCCAAAAACAGTTAAATTAGATGTGTGGAAGTAGTATAAATTCCAAAATAAAGAAGAGGGAGATGAGGTTTCTATATGTGAAACAATAAATATGCATTTCTTACAATCACAGGATGAAAATCAAACATACGCACACACACACTTTACTGTCAACTCACAGCTCCAGAATCAGCACCACTTCAGCTCGACTCTCAAAAACGTCTTTGAGAGTCACAATGTTTGGATGTTGAACAGCCTGGAGGATCTCCACCTCCTGCTCTACGCTGCTCCTCTCCAGGCCCAGGCGGCTGCACGCGCCCTTCCGGATCTTCAGGAACTTCCCCGCCCAACAAGTCCCAGTGGCCCGCTCACGAACCTGACGAACCTGGCCAAAATGCCCACTGGACAGGGCGGGAACATAATTCACAGTAAAACACCAAGCTTGAAATACAGCAAGAATACAACTGCCCCTTCCTAAGCCCCACCGCTATCAGATGTAACCTCCTAGCTAACAATTTATGTAGATTAGCTAGTTATTTGGTGTATTGCAAAACGCTAGTTAACTAGCTAGCTAAAGATTGACGTAGGTTAGCTAGCATTTTGTTAACATTAGCTAACTTAAGATGTGACTATATATATGTCCCTTTTATCTTTTAACCATCTTCAAAATGTGGTTGTCTTTTCAAGCTGACTGAGGTTCTGACTGAGCCTTGCTCAACTGTTAATTGGAGCACAGAGCAAAAAAGGGCGAGTTTAGGAAGAGGTTTCTTTAACTGTGGCAAAACTGCAGAAGCTCTGGCAGACCTAGCACCTGCTGCAAAACATTCCAAAAGTTAGAAAAAAAAGAAAGAAAACATTATTAAAAGATGAATTAATCATATATGTTGTTCTGTCTGTAAATATTTGGACATGTTCTGTTCTCACTTTCAGCTTTAAATAGGGTGGCCATTTCCTTCACATCAAAAAGGAGGACACTTTGCATACACGGGGACACGCAAGCAGGTATGTGTTTGGTATGATCCGGTTTTAAATTTTAATTTTTTTCCACCAGATTACATAAAGGTGCATACACATACCACATAGCTAATAATAAATATACAAGATACAGCTCATGACAATGTGCCCTTCCAATTCAGATTACATAGGTCTAATAAACATCATACAGAAACTGTTCTTAATGTTTTTATCTGGATAGATAAAGGGGAAAAAAATGCAGCAACTTCTGTTTCATATATATAGGCTTTGCCTATATATATGAGTATGAGCATTTTCAGAATTTCAGTCCAACAACCAACGTTAACTCACGTTACGTTCTCTGTCGTTGAGAGCTTGATTGACAGCCTGGTGGTAGCAACTGCGGTGATGGAGTGGCGAATCAACACATGGCTCATTTGAATATTAAAATGAGCCATGTGTTGAAAGGTCAGGACACGAAAATGTAACCAATGAAATTACTTATTTTGACACACAATTTTAGCCAATAAGTATTAAACTAACGAGGTAATGTGTCAAAAGGCGACCTTTTTAGTTATTTTCTCAAAAGGAGGACAAATGAGTGTCAGGCTTATGGCTGCGCCTGTAGCCGGACAGGGTGTTTAAAAGCCGGACTGTCCAGCCTAAAACCGGACGAATGGACACCCTAGTTTTAAAGTGTGTAAGTGTTAACGTCCATTAAAATGTAGGCCCTAAATGTTAACACTGTGCAATATGGATGAATGTTACAGAAACTACTGTACTAACAGTAAGATTTCCAGAATACACATCTGGGGTGAGACTACAGCTCATTGTGCAGCCTGCAGGGAAATTAATTGACACACCCAACTCACTTTCAGCCCTGTCCTCTCAGCTGAGGATGAGAGCCCTAAAAACTGGAACTACATACCACCTCCACAGCTTGCTTCCTCAGGTCATAACCCTAATAAACAACCCCTCTCACACCCCCTCATTCTATCTGCCACTTGCACCCCACTACACAGACTCACAATGTGTCACCCATCACATTTCCTGGCATATAATGCAGACTGTCCTCCTTTCCTATCTCTACATCCGCACTGGACTTATCTGACAACATCTCGGCCATCTTTGCACAGTACTTTGCACATTACATCCTCTGTAAACTTGGTTGTATATATTGCTGGGCTCACTTTCAGCTTTAAAGTGTGTAAGTGTTAACATCCATTTAAATATAGGCCCATGTGTTAACACTGTGCAGGAGGACAATGGCAAGGCTACAGTTCATAATGCTGACAAAGGATGGATGTTACAGGAAAACAACATCTGGGGTGTTGTTAGTTACCAGGTTTTTTTATTTACATTGGACGACTGCAGAGGAAGAAAAAGTATTGAGGTACAAACACATGATAAGGTGCATGTCTGTGTCCTTCTATGGTTACCTGTGGGAATTGAAATCAGGCTTGTGCATATGGGACCCATTAAACTCACTGACATTTATAAAACAGAACCATGTGTATGTATGGCTTTATTCATCTGATGAAAGAATTCCTATGCATGTATCTGTATGTGCAAACACAAGTTTTAGTTGTGAGTTTTATTCATCTAGCCCCTCTCTTCAGAATAAAAGCAGAGAATTCTTTAAAGTCATAATAATTTAATGCAGCATTTAATTAATTTTTAAAATCAGGTTCCTCTGGCTCCTCCTAATGCTCCTATTGGTTTTTGTAAGAATCCACCAGGCCTGAATGAAAACAACCAATCAGAGCCGAGATAGATAGTTGATTGTTGAGTCTCATCCCAGGGTGTCAAATACAGACGCTTTGGGACCCTGGGAATGAGACTCAGCATTCAACTATCTTTAATAATGTCCTCAAACTGACAGTGAATATCAGCATTTTACCTTCATAATCATTGTTTTATTTTAACTCCAAGAAGCTGGAGTAGAGAGGAAACACAGCAACAAAGTCTGTAAATGACCACTGACTGCATTGTGGTAAACACTGCTTGAGACGTGCAGAGCTTTAAAAGAAAAAAAAAAAGAAAAAGTCATATCCTTACCTTCCCAGAACTTCACCAATCTCATAAAGGTCCTCCACATTTTCAGGCTTGAAGACTGCCATGTTGATTTGCTTCGCTTAGATCCACCTGCTCCTTGGTTAGTCCATTCCTGGCTGTTTAACAGTCAACTTCAAGTTGTTCATGATCCTCCAAACTCTACATACACCAAAGCTGGACCTGATGAACATGATAAATGGATGTCAGAAATTACATTACTACATATGTTGTTCCACTCCCTGTATGTTAACGGTAGAAAAAAAAAAAATCTAAATATATTTATTCTGTGTACAGTTAACCAGTTCATAACGGGGAAAAGGAGAAGCTGAGACAACAGACAACCCACTATCAGATCAAAATCTATGTATTCGTACCTTTTCTTCTTAACACATTCTTAACCACGATGTACCAGTTTAATGCAAGCCTTTCTGTGGAATAGGAAAGACCCTATGACATCATCAGTTTCTACAGAGGCGCAGGTCACATGTGGGTGTAGCACTTCCTAATTTCAGGTTCTACTGCAGGGCTGTGAACCTGAGGATTTTTAAAATCAGCTGCAATACTAAAAATGCAATAAACCCCTTCCTTAACTACAGATTTCATCTAACCTCTTTATCTGCCCTTCCTACGGTCCCATCAATAGCTCTTTATTGCACAATTTCTATTCCAGCCATGCAAAATAGTCCTTAAATGTTTTCCCAAATTACACTCCCTCTCTGATGACACATAAATAAATTCTTTTATCACACCACTCCCCACCTTAAAAGATTTGGCATCAGCTGTATGTAACCAACTTCCCTCTATACATCTGACTTCCCTTAATGACAGAGTATGAAAGGATGTGAGAAAGGGATAACACATTTTAGGGCTACTAGTCCCAACCGATGTAGAGCTGTGTAACATGTCTACTGGCTAAAGGAAGCATTTTCAGCTATATTAATGTGGACAGAGGGTGGTCTGTTGATAGAAAATCGTCTATGTTTTTATATCATGCTCTATCGACCCAGCAGGCAATGCTACCTGGGAGAGGGTTCAGAATGAGCGACAGGACTGGAGCAGGGCGAGTGCGCAATGGAAACGGATTCACAGCCTGTAAGACTGACAGAGGCCAGCTGATCTACACTCTGACTCTGGGAATGAAGACATGGCGGATTCAGACAGGGGAAGGGGAGGAATGAAATGGAGGAAGAGGAGCGAGTTTGTTGTAAAGTATCGATTGTTGTAAAATCAGGGATATACTAAATACTATAGGGGACAGCCCTATAGTAAAGTAAATTGAAAGATAATTCACTGCAAAGCCTGGTTAACTGATGGCCTTAAGACTATCTAGTGTTTTAAACCTGTTCAGTCTGATATAATGAACACAAGATTTTTAGAAATAAATCCTTAATGTAGAAGTGTTTTCATAACTGTGGTACAAAAAACAGGAAGACTCTACTACCAAAAAGTGAACTTATAAATGCACTTATGAATCCATCAGAGTTATCTTAACTTAATCCCCTTCAGCAGGTTTAACTTCAGCTGAAGACTTGTAAATGCCAGTCATGCTCATGTACTCATTAGACTTGAACCCAACCTTAAGCACACATCTGAGAGTTGACAAGAACCTGTGATGAACTGGATGGTAGCCACCTCTCACCAAGGCTCAAGAGCTAAAAACAAAAGAACAATGCACAGCAGGAGTTCTAAAAGGGGAGCATGGAGCCTCTGAAGCTTTTTTGTGCGAACCTCTAAGGTTTGCTCTGAAAAGGCTCATATGCTTTGAGCTGAAGGATTTATCCTATATCATCTGATAAAAAAAAAGAATTTTGGATCTGTATCTTGCATGTTTTGTGTATAATCACCTGAATATAAGAATCGTGTTGTTGTTACCATAGAATGAGCTGTTTTTATCTACAGACACTGCGAGTCAGCCACGTAACATTTCACACAACGTCAAATACAGATGCGAGCTGTGTTCAGTTAGTTGCAATCCGCATATTCACCACTAGATACCGCTAAACCTAACACACTGGTCCTTTAAATGCTTTTAATGTGAACCTGCAGCTTGATCACCCGTGGTGGCTGGCTGTTAGTTTAGGAAGCGCAGTTTTCTATGAGATGAGCACGCATTTCAAACATCAAGATCGTAAATGATCATGTTCATTTAATTGTGGGAAGCAAAAATCGTGATCATGATATATTATTCGATTAAATGTGCAGCCCTATGAGAGAGAGTTAAATGCATTTCCATGTACTTAAATAACCAGGTTACAGTCTGCTCTCTTCAGTAAGCTGATTTCTTAAATGTCAAATAAACAAGAAATATGGTTTCTGTAATTGGGGTACGGAGCACCCTTTATGCAAAGGCGCACAACTTCAGACACCGACTCAACTAACTGGCATCTTAATCACCATCTTAGTACCGTCCAACACCAGTGTAGCCAATCAGAGTCCGTCAACCCGGACTTTCCTTCATAACCCTGAGTCATATCTGAGTAGGTTTACCTCCATTCATAGTACAGACCTCAGGTCACTGGAGCGCATGCACAGGCAGAGAACCAGAGTTAATGAAGGACAGCCAGACAGAGATAAGCGTGAGTGAGAGGGCAGGGCGAGATCTCAAGAGACTTCTAGCAACAACGTGAGACTGAGAGGAAACACGAGTGACAGGCACAGCGTTTTAAATGGCTGAGAACCTTTAGCATGCTGATTTCCATCCATAGATAAATGTTGTGCACTCCTGGAAATTTTTCACTGTTATTTTGGATTGCTAAATCAAGAGAACACCAGGGTTCCTACTCTTTTTAACAAATCAAATCAATGCTAAATTGTCAGGAAACAAAACGGGGAATTGGTTACTGTTTACTTTATTGTGAAGCACTTGAGTTAAATTAAGTTCATTAAGTTTATTCCCAGGTCATCCACCAGTGAATGAGACTCAACAATCAACTATCTTACTCTAAAATGACCGACCCCACATTACAAGTCAGTTTTGAACATGCGACACGACATCTGTTTCACCTTATAAAGATGGGGCCAGTGTCCTCATGGTGAATCACATAATGATGGTTTGTAAAAATTCGGTTCTGTCAAATTATAATTGACAAACTAACCATATTAGTTAAGGGGACTGGAAGATTAAGGCTGGGGAGTTTCAGTGCATCCTGTTCTGCCACTGTAAACACACATATTAATCCATGACTAAGAGGTCCAGTCTGTAGGATTTAGTTGCATTTAGCAGTGAAGTTGGAGATTGCAATGATTTGAAAAAAGCCTGTATGCTTGGAAGGCTGAGTTGTGAACTTATTTATATTAAACACAATTTAGTTTTACGAAATATTTTTACATTTAGTAAAGAGCTTTACTTTGCACTGTCCAGTGACAGTGTGCTGATACAGAGCAGTAATCCCTTCTTCCCTTCCTCTTTTTTTTGGGCTCATTCTTAAATTCTAATCTCGACTCTACGTAAACAACGTCCTCTGTAAGCCTGTTGTGTGCCAACGCTGCTGATTTTACTAAACTAACCACATACGAGTCCAACCAGTCTCACCACAGGAACTCTCACTTTATTTTTCTTTCATTGCTCATATGACACGTTACGCTGGGAGTTCCCACAAAAGTAGTTGCCGTTGTTGCATCATTTCACTCTATCCCCTTTTTACAACATAAATTCCCACATTACTCAGAGTAACCTTGTAAATCTGACTGATAAGACACCATCAGACCAAAATGTTTCCTACAGTTTGTTGATTATGTTTGTTTGTCATATTTGTGTAGAACTAACACCCAGAGAATATCAGTCCTACAGTTGTAACATTAAGTCACACAGGCATTTCGGTAGTGTGACTAGACACAGTGTGAACTGATATAGTGATAACACAAGGTGAGTGACAGCAGAGCATGCTGGATCCTTTACAACAGTCTCTGTGGTCAGATGCAGTATTTGGTTCAGTTTTTGGAAGCCGATCATGGCACATGTTTTTAAATTGTGTAACTTTTGTGTGAATTAGACCTGTGAGCAGCCATCTAGCTCAAGCAAGCAGGCTGAGTCAGTTTACTCAATGATAGTAAAGATATAGATAGTCAATGATTTATAGATTAAAGTAGAGCTTTAACGTCCCTGAGGGGCAATTTATTTACTTTTCCTTGGAGGCCCAACCACCCTTGCTCCCACCCAGCCCTGTTTTCCAAGGATGTAGTGCAATGACGGTGTCCGAAACAACCCAGATTTGTATGGTGTTTTCATTTTCGTTTATTTATGGATTTTTTTTCTTGTCTGTGTTTTGTTTTGATCTCTTTGCTTATTATATTGATTTCCCCCGCACTATCTTGATTTATCTCTTATGTTCTTCTCATTCCCAACCTCCCCTAGCAGTAGTATATGATAGAAAAGGGCTCCATTAAGGAAAAAGGTTGGGAACCACTGCTTTAACTGACAATAGCTTATCCTACACAAATTCAATTGTTCTTTATTTACACTCCTCGTGGCATTTGTAAGAATCCACCTGCCTGAACAAAAACAACCAATCAGAGTCGAGAAAGAGAGTTGATTGTTGAGGCTCATTCCCAGAGTCCCAAAGCTCAACAATCAACTATCCTTCGTGGCTCTGATTGAGGGGCATTACAGGGCACCAGAGTTAGGATGCATTTATGGTGAAACAGATTAGTCAGGGTTAGGATTAGCATCCTAAAGGGAACTTTATTGTGTTTGATCTACAATGGAGGCATCCAAAAGGGAACTGGTTCCAGATTAGGCGCTGGCTCCGAACCAGACCTCAAACTGCCTAATCAGACTAATCAGGTTCCTTTGAGCTTTCTATAAAACTAATGTTTTCTTGTTTTGCAGATCCAAAAAGAAAGAGGGAGAAGGAATGAGAGTGGAACCTTGGGGTCACCATAAACAGATTTTTTTTCTTGTTAAAAATATAATGTTGGCTTAGGTTTAGGCCTTGCAAATTGAACGAGGCCACAACATGCTCTGAAGCTAATGCGATGGGGCACACGTCAGCCGTGGTAAAAAATGACGTACTCTATGGGTCTCGCACATGTGCGTGGAAAAATGGCTTATAAAGAGCAGCTCCAATGGCACGTTTATAGCACATCCAGACATACAAACACATGCCCCTTGGACCCATTCCCCAAACCCAAAAGGAAGTCAGCCATTTTGAATTTAGTGGTCATTCTTGGCGATTAGCACACATTGTACTATATCAAACTCGTCCTAGGGGATTGATCGGATCACCTTCAGATTTGGTCAGTGTCTTTTAATTTCTTTGTTTTTTGATCGATGTCCTTTTGTACTGCACTGTTGTTGTTTTTCTACGGCACTATTATATTGTTTCTATTGAATTGTATATGTTCTGTTTCCCTTGGTATATGTTATGCTCCTTCAAAGCAGCTCTTTGACACCTGTATGTCAGTGAAGATATAATAAATTATGAATTGGATTTTTTTTTTTTATTTGTCTTGTTAATGTTAATAAATAAATGGTAAATAATATATAGCAGGCCTGTAAATGAGAAAACCTGTGAAATAGCCTTTCCTAGTTTTTGTAATAGTGAATAGGCCTAATAATAATCTCAATGTTTAAATGTGCTTCCTATAGTCACTACGTGGTCCATACTGACTCTACAAGTAGCCTGCAGCGTTTTCTTTCTCTCTACCTGTTGGGACAAGAAGCCTATGTAGGAAAAAGCTCAAATCCCACAGTTCTTAACGAGTGCAATAATACAAAACTTTAGAATCCCACACAGTTCCTTCCAGTATTTCAGACACAAACACGGATTGAGAGCACTGCCGGCACACTGACCATCGACATCAATGTAGAAGTAGCCTCAGCAGCAGAGCCTGTAACGCAGAAGGTACGCACCAGTGCGGCTGCTCGGCTTCCTGGTCGGATGTTCCCACGAACCGTCGTCTTCTATCCCATGGATGTGTCCCTGCGCGCTCCTGCTCCCGGCGGCCGTCCTCCACAGCGTGAGCTCGGCCCTGTGACTGACAGACGGTTGGGGAATGCGGAAAACAGCCACACTCACTCACTATTCGATGTCATGTCCGAATTACCGTAAATACGCGTTTAGCGACCTTCGGAGGCGTTCACGACACCTTCTGACGGTTAAGACATTCAAGGAGTAGCCGTATCTTTTTTTACTTCATATTTTGACAAGGACTCGCCAAACTGATAAAATAAAAGCAACACTTCCGGTTTCAAAATAAAGGCGGAGAAGTCGTAAAGTTACAAAATACAGTCCGCCGGATTGGTGTTTCTGGAAAAGACAGCGCTTATATTCCCAACGCAAACAGATATTAACAGTTATAAAAGCATTATTAATAATAATAATAATAATAATACGGTAATAATAAATGTAGAATTGTATACATATTGAATCGCAAACCCTAGCAAATAGGTAATTGTTACACAAATATGGCATTAACAAACAAACAAACAAACGTCATTTTGAACACTGAGCCATTTGTACATTTCTCAGTCACACTCTTCGTTGCTTACAGATATCACATTGTGCAAACAGATATAGTGCCACTGTGATTACAAACACAGCAGCACATTTTGGGATTAGATGTAGCAGCAGTAACTGCCTGGCCTCAGTGTACAATCATCTGTTATGCCTTTGTGTGTTTTCTTGGTTAATGGTTTGTTCATGCATAATGTCTTGTTCTTATATTTTCTAGTCTACCTCTGTTCTGTGTTATGCACTAAGCAATAAAAGCTTTAGAAAGAAAGAGCAGCAAAAAGCAGCAGGTCATCTTGTCACATCGACAGCTGCTAACAAACTGAATGACATTCAAAAGCACGACCTGTAGGGGGAAACTACTGGCCTGATGGAAGCACCTTAAACTCAGATTGTAGACTGCTGGCTGTGATAAAATGACCTGCCCTTCCTGTGTGGTTCAAGGTGTATTATCTAGAGACACGGAACATTAACGTTTATGAACAGATACCTGCCTTCACTAACACATCTGTCTCTCTTTGATGAGGGTGTACAATCATTTCATTCAAATGACTCAAAGCTAACATCTGCTGCTCCAAACCAAAGGAAAATATTATAGCTTCTGTTTGTGCTTCCAGGGAATGTTAAAACTTCAGAAATCAATCAGACACAGTTTTAGAAAAACCCAGATTGTTTTTATTAATTTATTTTGAAGTTTGTCAACTGGCTGTAAACTTCAAATCTGAAATCAGTTCATTACATACACACAATTACCAAAATACAAAACCCTGTTACAGTAGTAACTGCTATTGTAATTGTAATGTAATCTATCACATGAACCCATCTGCAAATATGAAGGAATGAGTAGCAGCAGAAGATGAGAACAGAGAGCTCAGTTGCTCATGTTGCTTCTGCTGCTACCTCCTGATCCAGAGTTCTCTTAATCTTCTTTAATCAAATTACAAATCAGGCTCCTTGGTCACTGTACTTTTCTGTCGACTTTCACCCCCAATATGGGTTATTAAGCTATTCAGAGATCCTGTGCCCATTGAACCCTTCGAATTCCACCACCACCCCAGCCCCACACCTAAACTCAGCAGTGGCTTCTCAGTTCTTCTTGGCCTTTGGTGAGTCGTACTTCCTCTTGCTGGAGTACCAGAGGAGCAGAGGGATGCCGATGGAGGGCAGGGTCATTACGCCAAACGCAGCCCAGTCCAGCTAGAAAAGGGAGACATGGGGAAGTGAGTGAAGCTAAAGGGGCAGTTCATTTCTTTGTCATTATTAAATGTCAATGATTCAATGTTATTTAAAGCTGCAGTAGGTACATTTTAATTTTTGCAAAATTTGCTGAAACTTTCACCAAATCCTGACAGACAGACAATCTGTGAATTATCATCACTCCTCTTAGTGCTCCTAACGCAATTGCAAGAATCCACCTTAACAAAAACAACCAATCAACTCTTAACCCTAAGCATGTTTTTATCTTTCTCTGCTCTGATTGGTTGTTTTCGTCCAGTCCTGGTGGATTCTTGCAAATACCATAATGCCACAGATTATCTGTCTCGTGTACTACTGTGAGGATATAGTGAAAGTTTCAGCAAATATGACAAAAGCTTATTTTTATAAAAGCTACCTACTCTGCCGTTAATTGTCATTTACAAAACAAGGTTGTGTAAGGAATTTCAGATTGTACTTCCCTATTGAAAGATTATGTATCGTAAAATTGATTATTAAGTCATAAACATTTCTATTTGTGCTGAGGATGAAGTGTTATTTAAGAAAAAAATGTTTTATTGCCAGCTCCGTGTTATATGTGTTTACCTATACTGCCACAGAGCTGTAAGAAGCCGTTTCCCTACAAAGGCTTTATAAGTATATACTCATTTGCCAGTTTATTAGGTACAGCTAGGTAAGACAAATGCCATCTAATACAACAGTCCTGCAATAAATCCTCCCTTCATGAAGGTTCAGTTTTTCAGTTTGGATCCCTTTAACAGAGGGTTGATTCAACTGTATGATGCCTTTATAACGTACATCTCATTTGTAATACAGGCAAAATCTCAAATGGAACACAAAGCCTTTTTTGCTGCTCTCAGACAGAATAAACTGCAGCCGAAATTAAAACCTGTTCTCTTTGGCTGATTTTACAGTTTTAACCACTGACTCCACCTGTACTTGCAATGGTTACATCTCATTGAGAGCAGATCTTTACAGGTTAACTAGGCCTTTAGCACAAATAGTTAGATTTGTTCATCACTGGTTATGTGCCTTACTCAGTTCCACTTTTACTTGTTCAACGTTGTTTTTTTTCCCACCACTTTCCAAGTAGTTCGGCAAGTAGGTCAGGCATCAAATTGCTGGAATCAATATGTACTTGCACCTATACAGATTGTTTTATTTATTAGTGGGTATGAAATAACAAGACCCTCTTAGCTGTCTTGCAAGCGAGATGCTGTTGGCTGTTTTCAATGCACTCCAGCTGAATTTTTCTAAAACTTGACATGCCTTTGAAAAACTATCCTCTTCTATCCACCTTGCTCTCAAACTTGTGGCAAATTACGCAATATATAGTTGGGGTTTCACCCACATCCTCTAATGTCACTTAACTCCTGTTGCCAGAATAATTCAAATGCTCACTTGCATTTCAGCTCATGAATTTTGTCTTTACCCGCCGCCATTTTCTCCAAGTGCCCAATCGGTACTGAGCATGCGCAACTGTCAGAAGAGAAGGAAGCGAGATGGCTAGCGCACCGTGGTGTTATTTTGTTTAGTTTTGTGTGCTTTCATTGTCAAGTATACAGGACACCCATGCATGTGTTTAAAGTGGTCCTGTGTTTCCTCAGCTAAAGATTAGGAAGTTCTGCAGAAGGTTTGTATACAGAATTCCACTAACATTGATCATTTCCTCTACTAAAGTACCATTTACTACTGCTCTTTCTAAAGTTAATCAGGTCCACCCACTCAGTCAGGAGCCTAAGTGAGTGAGTGAAAACCACTTTTTGAATGTTAACACTCACATAGTGTGGGGAGAAGCGCCGGTCGAACTCCCTCTGAGCCAGGATGCCTCCTTGGCCGGGGGCGCTAGTGTAGCCAACCTGCAGGAAAGGACAGACACTTCAGCTTCCTTCACTTCACTAAACACTTAACCGGCTTTGATCCATGATGATAATCAACTGGGTTTTACCACGACTTGTCCTCCCTCCTGGGCCAGGTAGCTGACAGAAGCAGAGGTGAAGTTGAAGTAACCGGCCTTCAGGGGGCGCAGCACCACGGTGTGAGAGACATTGCTGGCTCTGAAAGTTCCAGGGTTAATTCTGACAACTTGAACTATATGAAGAGTCCGTTGATGTAAACAGCATAGTGATGATAGTAACCCCCTACAATCATGTTCTATAGCCCCGCCCCTTTCCTGTACTTAGATATGCTATGTGCTAGACACATACAGAGAAAAAAGGGGGCGGGACTTAGGAAGACTCAATTAAACTTGTCTTCTCAGTGATGGAGGTGTAGTTTGTCCAAATGTCCCTGTCTCTCACAGATAAGAGTACTTCACCTGCCAAGCTTTCTCACCATCAGTTCCACTATGTTGTATGTTCACCGCCATCTATTTTTCCATTTGAGACAGTACATTAAAAAGCAGCTGCTAACAGAGGTTACATAATGGTTGAGAGAGGACCTAATCAGTGTCAGTGAGTGGATGCAGAGGTGTGTTTGATCAGCTGTTTGGGAATGTAAGGTTTTTCTCCCATCAAAGCTACAGTAGGTAATTTATAAAAATATTTGTCATATTTGCTGAAACTTTCACCATATCCTGACAGTAGTACATGAGACAGATAATCTGTCAAGAACAATAGGATACCAATGTTACCTTATAGTTTTAAGGATAATGTGATGCCAGTAGTAAGCTTTCAGTAAATGTGGAGACCTTAAATCAACTCAGTTCAAACGTAATCAACTCAAATCAATGCAAGAATTTCATACCAGAACTCAAAATAAACTGTAATGAATCCTCTGAGACTATTTCTATGTCTATGAAGCATGTTTGCCATTGTAAAGGTCTAGAACCAGTTCCTTAGTGCCAACTAGCCTTGATGATCCAGTTTTACTCGGCTAGTGGTTGATTTTAATGTTAGCTACAGCATGAGAAGGGAAAAATAGTTCAAGAGTCTGCCTTACCCAATCTTGAGATGTAACCAGGCTGTCTTATTACGTATAGGTACAGATAACAATGAAGAGAAAGGGGGAATTTATGATTGGTTGTTTTCATTTAGAATTACTGTCTCATGTACTACTGTCAAGATATAGTATTTCAGCAATAATGACAAAAAGTTATTTTTATAAAAATGACCTATTGCAGCTTTAAACTGACATTACTGACTTCATCACACAGTACCAACAACTGCGAGGTGAGAGGACCAGACATTTAGGTTCAAGGATACGGTGCAATCCTGTCCCATTTGACATTCAACATTCCTGAAACGATTCCAAAGTCTTCAGGGGGAAAGGAATCATCTGACAGCTCCACCTCCAGAGCAGCACTGTAGAAACACAAAGGGAAGAGGACAAAGTTAGATGACAGTGTTTAATTAGATTTTACTGAATCTCCAGGATACAGCAGGGCCATGCACAGTACCCAGGGCAGGAATTATGCCACGGTCAACCAGCCAGTGCCACGGATGCCCTGCTGTGCGGCCGTAATTCCAATTAGCGCTCCTAGCGTTCCTTAGCGCTCCTTCAGTCAGCCATTAGTGTGTGCAGATGAGCTCAGTTTGCAGTATACTGGTTACTGTGTGTTGTGTTTGCTGCCACAGAAAAGAAATAAGCTAGCTAGAATTAGAGCTATGAGTCAGGCTAAATACAGTTAAACTAGCCTAAAAGCTGAGCTCTAACAAAACTTACATGTTTATAGCAGGGTGCATGAGAGTTATAACACAGGGGTCAAAACCAACTCTTTCAATACCTTCTCAAAACTCACAAGGGGGAACGTTAACCTCGTTCCACAGCGGCCACACTGACAATGCAGCCTGCAGATAAGGCTAAAGGGATTTCTTGTTGATTATCTCAAAATGCAAGATAACTGACCCGATGAATCACTGTATCACTACAGGAGAGCATTCTATCACACTCAGTGCAGTCCTGACCTGGAGCCCACGTTGTAGATGTTGTACTGCAGGGTGAGGTCACGGCCCTCCACAGCATAGCGGTTCAGCAGGGATTTCGAGGCCAGCAGACGGGCTCCTTCTTCTCCTGAGCCCAGAGCGAGCAGAGCCAGGACCAGAAACACATGCAGCATCTTTGTCATCTGGAAAGAAAAGTGATCCAATTAAAATGTGACACACTGTGAAGAACTGCTGATGAGACGGGGCGCAGTATGGGGACACCTCAGCCACTGCAGCCTGCACCAAGCCTTTTACAACAGCACAGTAACGGGGTGTTAGTAAAGGCCACACTTACATGAACTAGTGTTACAAAGCCAGAAGACAATTTGTAAAAATACATAAATATTTACGGAATTGAACACTGAGATATTATAAAGGTTTTCTTTGAAGGAAGTTAAAGGGTCAAATTAGACTAAAGCCGATGGATAACAGTTAACGTTAGCTAGCTATAAAGGGAGCTAGCCTTACAGCTATTTTAAAATGTTATCGTTACAAAAGTAATAGCAGCGTTTCTGTTCAAAAGCTTGAGAGCATTAATGAATATGTTAAGTAAAAAGTGTTACATTTTAGTTTGTATTAACGTTATATGTCAAAGGGCTCAACATCGACTGTTCCAGACGCCTACGTGGACCAAACGTCACGTACCTAACGTTAGCTGTCAGTCACAGAATTACAACGAAGAGAAGCTCGTTGTCTACATTTACGTTACAGAACGTCCATGTATGTGATTCTAAAATATCAAGCTAGCAAACGAGTGCAGTTTGTACAGTTATAGGAAAGAAAAGCACAGCCCGTTACCGTTCACTGGTGTTCCTCAGACCGCACAAATTGAAGGAGCTGGGGACGCGCATGCTCAGAAGCTTAAAGCTGATGTTTGCATGACGTGTACCGAGGGTGAATTTAAGGTAGTCTCGAGACAGCGCAGCGCCCCTAGCGTCTTGGAGGCGGTGGTGTTTCCTCGGATTCGACGGACTTGTATGTAGTTGACTCACCAATCTTTTTTTAACCCATCTGGTTATAATCAGAACTAATCTAATCCATGCCTTATTTCAAAGTAATATTGTTTCTGTTTCACCTGGAATAGTCGTTTAAACAATTTATGCTGAAAAGAAAGTTTGGAAAAAAATACTTCACTTACGATGAACACTGTATGGAAGCCCATTTCTGCCAATTCTTCTCCACTACCACTGTTTCTCTCATCTGCGCCCAATAGACATCTTTGGTTTGGTGGACCTTTTGGTGAAGTTTGTGAAGCTAGTCAACCCATTGCTTGTGATGACTACCTTGTGTACATTTGCCAGCTCTGTTGTAACATTCTGCCTCTTCACCTCATACTATGCAGGGATGAGGGTGTTGGACAGAACAGTCCTGCAGAGAGGGGTCTAACTGCATTTTCTCTATATTCAGCATCGTCCTCCACCTGAATTGTCCTACAATTGGCTGAAGTTGGACAAAACAGGGTGCAATACATGTCAGCTAAACCAGGATCTTAATATTCACATACAAACATCCTAACAAATGATACAAAAATTACAATCAAAATCCAAACTGTATCATACAAATATATGATTCCTTTTGTCCTCAAGTGAGAGACGTTGCCTAGCCATGCTGTACTGAAACACACAACAAGACGCTTTGAATATCTTTGTATTAATATTTGCCTATACTATGCTAGAGTGGGAGTGTGTCTGCATCTACTCACCATATGTTCCCTCAGACTTATGTTCCCTGAATCTTATGTTCCCTCAACCTTACAGTCACTCTGCTATAAACTTCCAATCCACAAAAATATACGCTTTAACATTTTTTCATTTATTTATTATTATTGTGTGTGGCAACTTTAGCCTCACCACCGCAGGGTCGATGACCCTCTCCACTTCGAAGGGGCCAATGAACCTGGGTGCCAGTTTCTTGGATTCGACCTGTAAAGGGAGCCATACCTTCTGGCCCACCTGGTAGGTGGGGGCCTTGGAGCAGTGGCGGTTGGCAGTGGCAGAGTAACGGTCAGCGGAGCATAGGAGGGAGGCTCTGGCTTGCATCCAGGTCCTGCGACTCCATGTCCTGGTTCTTCCTCTCGGTCTGACCATTGGGCTGGGGATGGAACCCGGACGACAGGCGGTGGCCCCAGTGCACAGAATTCCCCTTCAAAATATCGAGATGAACTGGGGTCCCTGGTCTGAGACCACTTCGATGGGGAGGTCGTGCAGCCGGAAGGCATGGAGCAGCACCAGTTTCTTTAGCCGAGGGGAGCTTGAGCAGAGGAATGAAGTGGGCTATTTTACTGAACTGGTCTACCACGATCATGATGGTAGTGTATTACGCCCCTGTCTAGGGTTAAGGAGCGCAACATAAATGTAAGAAGAAAATAAACCAATAATACTATCCTGATCCCCAAACCAACAACGAACAGGATTTAACAATCAAGGGAAGTAATTTATTTACAAATGTGGAAAAGGTGCAACAAAAACCAGGAAGAACTTCAGGGTGAACCAAGGCCAAAAACAACTAACTAAGATCTAACTCTCTCAAACTTAATGCTGACTAATCCCTATTTAACATATGAGTAAAACAAAAGACATTTACTATCCCTAACTCCTTAACCTAATGAAAAACAGGAGAAAAACAGTACAAAAGAAAATGGCAGTTTACCCCTACAACACCCACTATATACAACCATAAGAAAGAAAAAAACAGTGATGGGAAGGTTTGTGCTGGCTACACACTGGACAGGCCCCCACAAACTCCTGGGTGTCTCCGTCCAAGGTTTGCCTACCAAAACCTCAGCTGAACCACCTCCTTGGTTCGCTGGACCCCAGGGTGACAGGAGGGTAGAGGGGACAAACAGGCAGTCCAGGCTGATCCTCCAAAGCCCCCTTAACTCTCTCCTCTACTTCCCAGGTGAGGGGGCATGAAGCATGAGGACGGAAGGATGGTATCAGGATTGGGGACAGAATCCTCCCTCTCCACAAACTGACGGGACAGGGTGTCGGGTTTGACGTCATGAGAACCAGGCCGGTAGGGGAGAGAGAGATTGAACCGGGTGAGGAACAGGGACCAGCGGGCTTGTTGGGAGTTCAACCTTTTTGCTGATTGGAAGTAGTCAAGGTTTTTGTGGTCTGTCCATACCAGGAACGGTTGCTTGGTACCCTCCAGTGGCGCCATTCCTAGAGGGCCAGCTTGACGGCCAAGAGTTCTCGGTTGCCTATATCATAGTTTCTGGTCTTCCGCTGCTCTTTGGGAGAGAACAGCTCCTACCCCTACCTTGGAGGCATCCACCTCTACCACGAATTGTCTCTCAGGTCCGGGCATTTGGAGGATGGGGGCCAACGTAAACCGGGTCTTGAGTGACTGGAAGGCCGCTTCTGCAGCAGAGGACAGCGCTGTGAGAGGTGCGGTGACAGTGCTGTAGCCCCGGTTAAACCTCCGATAGAAGTTGGCAAACCCGGGAAATCGTTGGAGCTGCTTGCGGGAGTCAGGAGCAGGCCAGGTGGTAACAGCGGATACTTTGGCGGGATCCATATGGATGTTCCCCCTTAGTGAAAGCTTTGATGCCCAAAAACAAATTTAAAAATCTAAAACCTACAGTTCACAGACAGATGTTATTTGACCAGAATCATAGTCGTAATTTTTCATAGTCAGAGTTGGAGCTCAGTTTTTGCATTATCGCGCTTTTATTTGGCTTTTTGTACTTTCATAGTACACACTCCTGACCTCTGTGACCCTCAGCAGAAACATTCAGATACATTAAGGTTATATACCTGTGTGTCGTAAAGTCTCCAGATGTGTTTTACTCCACAGATGTCACAGCAGCTCATAGTATCATTTATAGGCAGGGTATCCTGAAACCTGGTGGATATTATATCTTTTCTAATCACCTGTGCTGTTCTGTGTGTTTACAGTATAACAATGTACCAGAGATAAAGCTCCTGGAGGCATTGACCAAAATCTGTGCTGTGTTGGAATGCTGTAAGTAGGAAAACACACAAGCGAACAACTGTTTGCATTGTCACACACTCTTTCCATGATCTAATGTGTATGGAAGCCCAATTCGTAAACCTTCTTAGTTTTAGTTTATTTTGACTTAGCATCTCAAAATATCAAGACTCAAAAATGACTTTGTGATACTAAGTAATTATTTTGGGAAGGTTTCTTAATATAATGACTTTTTTGTCACATTGGCGGAAATGGGCCATAATGCGTGTTTCTGTCTCTGTTAGTAATGGAGAGTTGGTGTACGAGCTTCCGGCAGAGGTTTGTGCTCCTTCTATCTCTGCTGCTCCACCATCTACCGTCTCCATTCCAAAGTAAGTTTGCTCTGGACAGTTTTGGTCAAAGTGTATCTCTTTTTTGTGACTGGCTCATGATCTGCAGCAGTAGTCCTTATAAATTAGCCAGACCATTTTGAATCACAATCATGTTATATTTACTCTCTAGCAGCTGTTGTTTGATTTCAGGTGTCTTTTATTTGTTATATAATCAGTCTTTTAATGTTCAACTCAGCCCATATGTTATATTATTTTCTCACAGTTTTACACAGTGGTAACAAAAGTTCTTACTCTGTTTCTGTCCTTTAGAAAGAGAACCCCTAACTCTATATTTTCACATCTTCATAGTGATTTGTGCTTTTATTTTTATAGCAGAAATACACTCATTAAAGCTGCAGTTGGTAAATTTTATGAACATAGTTTTTTGGCATTTTTGCTGAAACCTTACTAAATACTGACAGTAGTACATGCACTAGCAGGAGCCTGAGGAACCAGATTTTCACAGATTCACTGTCTCGTAGGGGTGGGCGATATGGGCAAAAAATAATATTGCGTTATTTTGGGGGATTTTGGCGATAACAATAATCAGTCGATATCCTTTAAAATGTGATTGGAAATGTCTGAGTTAGGGCTTGTGTCCACCAAACGCGTTTTTAGCGCTGAGAGCGCTCAAAAACTAATTTTCCGAGCGCCCAGCGGTGTTAAAAGTTGAACAGATTTAAACTTGAAGCGCTCTGAGTGCTGCGCTAAAAGTCTTTTCGAAACTAAACCATTTCCATGCCAGAGAGGTAGACCCACGTCTCGGCACTAAATCATCTGAAGTACCGGTAGCTTGAGGGACTGGAGGTGCTTGCATTTTCTCTCTACCATCACATCACTGCTAAACTGTTGCAAGGAGGATGGTAGTGAAAAGTCACGTGATCACGTCATGTGATCACATAGGCCCACTAGTCATGTGACTGAATCCTTGCATGCGTTGCTGCACCGTGTATTAAGTGGATGTGAGGAGTTTACGCGTGCGTTTCAATATTTTTGGCGAAGTAATTTAAATACTCGATAATGGAAATTTGCATATCGTCAAAACGACAATGACGATATTATCGCAAACGATATATATCGCCCACCTCTACTGTCTCATGCTCTATTGTCAGAAAAAGTCAGCAATAATGGCAAAAAGTTATTTTCAAAAGTTACCCACTTTTACACTACATGCCACATTCGCCCTTTCACCACATTCAATAAAAAACATCAAACAGAAACTAACGCATTCATTCACATACCGATATTGTAATGGGTCAGTTTAGGACCAAAATGAAGCACACTTAGGCAGGTAGTCAGTTGATAATGATCTTTATTTTCAGCTCGTGGAACAAACAGAGCAGGCAAGCTACAAACGATAATGTTCAATTCTGGCTTTAGGTTGTGAACCCTTAGAGTGTTTTGCAGCAATCCAAGAGCCGGCAGGTGGGTGTGCGCACACGATGGTATGTGTGGCAATACGCTCAGTCTCTGAGCCACGGAAACTCACAGGAGAGGAGATGGTCGAACTCACGCAGTGTTCTTCACACTTATGTTGGTTTGTGTCAACCATCTTTATTCAGCTAGGTTGAATCACAGAT